TCCACAATCAGATTTGGAAAATATGGAAATTAATGGCCAAATCACGTTCCCAAATTCTTCATCAGCTCTGCATCCGTGCGACCTTAAACTGTGAGCATGGATCTCTGGAAAATGGATCTTTTACATGTAGAATCCCAACCAACAGCTCAAAAACACATCAAAAGCGTCCAAAATCTTCGCGATTGCATCATTCACCATCACCTAACCACAATGCATAAAAACAAATAAATTCCACTCTATTTATTCGAATATTTGCCCAAAATACCACCAAATATAAAACAAAATATAAGTCAAATATACACATCATCATATGGCCATCTACCAAGAATGTTATTCGGGCACAATCCTTGTCGAATTTCTTTGAAATTCAAAACATCGGGATTTCATGCACAAAAATTAGGTTTATCATTCCTTTTTTATCTGCCCATCTAAGTATCCTCTTCAATTTTTCGAGTTAGGCATGCCATACACGACGGGTGTATCAAGCACGTTATTCGGGTACAATCCTTGTTGAATTTCTTTTAATTCAAAACATCGCGATCTGCATGCACAAAAGTTAGGTTTATCATTCCTTTGTCCATCCACCCATTTGAATATTCTCTTCAATTTCTGAGTCAGGCACGCCATATATGACGGGTGTACCAAGCACATTATCATAGCACGATCCTTGTCGATTTGTTCCTAAATTCGAACCATCAATTACTTGCGAAAGCTCAATCGAAGTTGTTATCTAGATGTATGAAAGTTAGGTCGTGCCTACCATGTGTTGAACAACAAGAGATGAATTCATGTCTCACTCGTCACATTACTCATCACCATGCGATATGATGTTTCTCTCTCTCTCTCAAAACCAGAACTAATCATTGAGTCAGTTAGAACACTAATCCAACCATCAATGCCCACATTTCTTTATTCCATTAAGGATTTGATAGCGATCATGCGCATCTTATTTTCTAATATATCGAGAGATTTGTAGTCATTTGCTTTGTAGGGAGACGTGTACGAATTGTTGAGAACTTCTGCAGTGGCACTTGTGCTGACAATGCCTCGGCAGTTAGACGAGATATAATTAATCAATTTTTGACTAAACTATGATTCTCGAAAAGTGAATTTGGACCAACTAGCAATCAAGTAAATGCCAAAGATGTTTTTGGTTGGTACATTAATATATTTATAAACCTTGGGCATTGAATTGCTGCCTAAGGAACGGCGATTCTCTCGAGTACCGAGCCCAGAAAGCAATTGATTTCACTCAACCTGTCAAGTCAACGGACATGATAATATGGGTCTATCTTTTTTAAGAGAAAAAATAACCCATCAGTGTTAAACACACAGTATAAAATGATAATTTAATATTAAACTTTTCGATTTTGTAAATATAGTTGTAAATTTTTGCGCGAAATTTTATTATAATTATTCTAATCAATTTTTGCTGGAAATTGTTGACGTGGTGATCTAATTATTATCGGCCTTCTCACGTGGCACACCGTCATGTCATATTATCGATTTCCAATCAAAATTCACCGAAATGACTATTTTGAAATTTTTCGCAAAATTGTATGACTAAATTGACAAAATTAAAAGGTTTTTGAGTTGAGTTGGTATATGTATAGTAGATTTAAGGCTAATTAGAACATTTTTTTCCATTTGTAACGATTAATTCCGTTTTCTTTGCTAAATAAGCAATGGATGAGTTCAAATTTGAATCCATAGCTCCTCGTGCCAAATGGGTTAGGTACGACATTTGTTATGCACGTGCTATAATCCATCCTTTTTGACAATTTGTTAGTTTTGCTAAGCACGCTGGCAATCATAGTCAACCGATGAATATTTAGCGGATCCAATCCCTTTAGACAAATTATCATTCATTGCGGCGTGTGTTTGTCTACACTAATTACTAGCAACTTTACATCCACAAAGAAATGATCAGTCAAATCACCCTTCGAAAGCCCACATTGACGAACAAAATTAGAACCTAATGGAGTCGAAATCTTTCGTGAACGCTTCTATCTCAACCACTTACCCTTCAAGTTTCATTAATGTGTCGTGAGCTTTAAACATTCAAGGTGGGATCTGTCGAATTGAGCTCGATACGAGATCGTAGAAATCTATGTGGTCGAGAGTTGTAACCCTAAATCCGCATGCGAATCCTCATTAGCTCACACAACAGAAACATTCTTAACTAAAACGTGACCAAAAGTACTCAGCTCATAATTTCATCGCACTAATGACAATCCGATGATGTCTAGGGACACGAAGGGATCCTCTCGGCATCACTTGAACATCGAGAAGAAGAAGATGCCGTGCGGAGAAAACCAACGGCGGGCTACACATAAAAAAGCAGAAACTAGCAAGTGAACCAAGTCCCCTAGATACGCATCGCAATCTTTTTATAGATACGCATGCCACAACTCCGCGAGGAGATAGGCGGTGCAAGTTGAAAAAAGATGATGATTTAACCTATAGCTAAAGGATTTTAGCACACTCGCAATATCCGTGTAATCACGTTGGTTAGTTATACACGCATCGCAACCTGATCGGATTCGACGAGGATCGGGAACAATAGCTCGGATTAGAATGGCGAGATGAACAATGGATCGAACAGATCGCATATCGAACGTCATAAGATCATCGTTATGGGCTGGTTTTATACTTGAAGCAAGAGAATCAACTCGAACGAGTCGACTGGACATTGGAACTCCAATGTCGAAGGATGTGTAGTTACTTCATATTTGTAAATAGGGGTGAACACGGTTCCAAAATAGAACCGGAGACCGGAGGATCTGTTTGATTCTCGATTCTAGGGAGGGAGGTTCCGGTTCCACCTTTTTATGAACTGCCGATTCCCGGTTCTCCTGATTTCTATAGGAACCAAATCTGGAACCAGGAACCAAGAACACTAAATCTAAAATCCCTAATTTTCTTACTACTTCTCACTTTTCAACTCTCAAATTCTCATATACTTAGATTAGTGGTTGTAAGTTTTTTTTTTGGCTCTCCAAAGAGGTGGACCCTTACCACGTGAAACAAATGGCAAACATCTTCTTTAAATAATCAATTCTAAGAGGTCTAGCAGAAAAATTGTAGCCCATTACTGCACATGCATGGTTTGATTGGATGTCTTTCTCATCCATCGGAAAAGAATGATTTACTAATTCACTGAGAGGTTGATATTCAATTTTTTTTTCTTGTGAAGACTTGCGTTTGGGAATGTAGCTATTTGCTTCAGAGGGGAATGTAGAACATTTTATATAGTTTGTTTAGACCTTTGATTTATTGTGACTTTGGAGTACCCACCATTTGCATGCCCATTGCTTTGATTAACTTGTCATGTTTGGGTATTCATTGTCATGTATTGGTGCCAAGTTTTTGTTCTTTAGTGAGGTTAAATTGTAACTATCGTTTACTCTTTCAAGAAACATCTTAAGCTTGATGGTCGCATAGTTAACACCATGGTGATAATGGATGGTGGAAGGAGAAAAAAAAAGGTTGTAGTTATAGTCATAATTGCAGTTGCAAATAATCGATACACGACACTTTAATTTTAAATTTAAAACCATTATTAAGTTATCAATTATGATTGTTGTTTCTTTCAATTTCATATGGTCAAAATTTAGAACAAATTTTCATGGATGTTTGAGGACCAAAAGCTTATCTTTCTTTCCTTTTTCCTGCTTCCCATTTTGTTTTATGGTCCTATGCTAGTCTCTTGTGAATTCTATTGCGTATCGATTTATGCAATGACTTCTCATTTTAATTGTAATTTTTTAAACCGTAATGCCAGGAAAACTAATCTTTTGTATTCTCTTTAGTAAATGATAAGTTTGTTTACTATTGCTGCATTCATGTTCATTTTGTGTAACTAAAAATGAAACAAAAAAAAAGAACATGTTAGACCCTAGAATTGATCCTGGAATCTGTGACAAAGTAGGTTATAAGTTCCACGTTTCGACGGGTAGGTTCCAAGTTCCAAAATGAGGAACCTGTACCCGATGATAGGTTTCGGGTTCCCGGAGGAACATGTAACGAACTTACAACTGCTCACACCTATCTGCAAAAGATGCATGTTCACGAAAAAAAGCAAGTCAATCTCTCATAAGATAAAACAACTATGTGCTTTGATAAATAATATATGGTTTTCTTTGAATCATTGGTGTTTGGTTAAGAGTAATCTCACCAAGAAAAAGGAGCTTGCGCTCCTACAAAGGGACTTTGAAGCTTGTTCCGATTCTACCGGGCGAGTTCCACAAATACGTTCTTTATTTTTAATGTGCCGGTGTCGTCACATCCTGCATCTTAAATTTCTCCATAATTTTTTTTTTCCTAGGAGGAAGGAATACTCTTTGCTTGTTTTACATCTTAAGAATCTCAAGATCCGCACGATACTCAAGACAAACAGTTTAATGACATGCTTAGGTAATCAGGATATACTCACCTTGGAGCAAAGGGTTATCGTTAATCCCACGGATTATTGCCTCGAAGGATGGAGAGTAAAATCCTTTCAGGCTATTTTCTACGCGCCTTATTTAATGTCTCGCCGGTCAGACCCCTTCAAGTCCCTCTGTTTCCCTCATATGTTTGTCTTTCCTTACAGGAGAGATTACTCGGTTGAGAACTTAGTTGGATCTTAGATGGTTTCTCTCCTAAGATTGAGCCGACATAAGAGATAAACCTTGAGGAAACGGTGGGAAAGTTGTACCCAAGTTGTCATCTGTCAAGTTGTCGTAGCCCGCCACTTGTACCCGACCCCGAATTAGGAGCACGTGAGCCGAGACCGCCACCTCGGCGATTTTACAAACAAATGTATCGCTATTTCAAGCACGTGTTGTTCGTTCTCGTTCCCCCAGCGAAGCCTGTCCTGCCGTCAATCTGTCCCTGTCGATAAAGCTAGTAGAAACCAAAACCAGCCCCCAGAAAAAGTGGAAGGGACCCCTCAAGTGCAAATCACATCACACATCATTCTGTCTCCAACCACTATATAAATGCCTCAGTTTCCTCCCTCTTTCCTCGCTCCACTCTCCGGTTTCCTCTCTCTTTCTCCGTCCCTCTGTACAATTTTCAGTTCAAGAAAGAAAAGGCGACGCAGAAATGGAGTCTGGGTCTTCCTCTTCTTGCCTTTTCCAGTCCATCCAGATCGCCCTCTTCCTCCTCTTCCTGTCCTTCACTCTCCTCTTCTCTGCCTTCTCGTTCTTGATCTACATCTTCAGGCTCAAGCCGCTCTGCAACTGCGACGTGTGCACGGCCTACTTGAGCTCCAGTTGGACCAAAGAGTTCGACAACCTGTGCGACTGGTACACCCACCTCCTCCGGAAGTCTCCCACCGGCACCATCCACGTCCACGTCCTCGGCAACGTCGTCACCGCGAACCCCGACAACGTCCACCACATGCTCCGCACGAGGTTCGACAACTACCCCAAGGGCAAGCCCTTCTCCGCGATCCTGGGCGACCTCCTGGGCCGAGGGATCTTTAACGTCGACGGCAATTCGTGGAAGTTTCAAAGGAAGATGGCCAGCTTGGAGCTCGGGAGCGTGTCGATACGCGCGTACGCTTTTGAGGTCGTGGCGTCGGAGATAAAGAACCGCCTCGTTCCGCTGTTGTCGTCGGTCTGCGGGAAAGATGACGGCGTTTTGGATCTGCAGGATGTGTTTAGACGTTTTTCTTTCGACAGCATATGTAAGTTCTCGTTCGGGTTGGACCCGGGCTGCCTGAAGCTGTCGCTGCCTGTGTCGGAGTTCGCAGAGGCGTTCGACGCGGCATCGAGGCTGTCGGCGGAGCGGGCGATGAGCCCGTCTCCACTGGTCTGGAAAATCAAGCGGCTGCTCAACGTCGGCAGCGAGAGGAGGCTCAGGGAGGCCATCAGGATGGTCAACGCCCTCGCTGACGAGGTGATCAAGCAAAAGCGAGAAATGGGTCCTTCAAAAGATCACAACGATCTTCTATCGAGATTCATGACCACCATCGACGACGACGGGTACTTGAGGGACATCGTGGTGAGCTTCCTTCTGGCGGGGCGCGACACGGTGGCGTCCGCGTTGACCAGCTTCTTCCGGCTGGTGTCGCAGAACCCCGAGGTCAGAGACGCCATAAGAGAGGAATCGGACCGGGTCATGGGTCCGACCAGCGGCGGCCTCGCGAGCTTCGACCAGATGCACAAGATGCACTACTTGCAAGCGGCTCTGTACGAGTGCATGAGGCTGTACCCGCCGGTCCAGTTCGACTCGAAGTTCGCGCAGGACGACGACGTGTTGCCGGACGGGAAATGGGTCAAGAAGGGGACGAGGGTCACGTACCACCCCTACGCCATGGGCCGGATGGAGCGGTTGTGGGGCTCGAACTGCCTCGAGTTCAGGCCTCGGCGGTGGCTGACGAGGGACGGGGTCTTCACGCCCGAGAGCCCGTACAAGTACCCGGTGTTCCAGGCCGGGGTTCGGGTCTGCCTGGGCAAGGAGATGGCCCTGGTGGAGATGAAAAGCGTCGCGCTGGCTCTGGTCCGGCAGTTCGATGTCCATGTCGCGGATGGTCACCTCAGTCCCCAGTTCGCGCCGGGGCTCACCGCCACCATCAGAGGGGGATTGCCGGTGGTGATTAAAGAGAGATCAGTCGCCTCAGCAAGATGAGAAGAGACTTTTTTGGGCGTACCCTAAATAAGAGAACAGATAACTCAATGTGTACATGCTCGATAGTCACGTGTTCACTTGTTCCGTAAGAGCTTCATTAGGAGAAATGAACAGATGCATAGAATGGAAGCTGGCCAGATACTCTGGACCTTAATAACAACAGAACGTGCATATGTCTTTGCGCATGAATGAGACTGAGAGATCGAAGAGTGATTTTAAGCATTATCTCTTGCGGACAACTCCACGGCCCTCTACTCCGCCAGCGCACTCGAGGTCGGCGTACTCAAAACTCTCGGCCGAGTTCCACGGCGCCAACTGGCCGATGAACCAGGATGCCACGCAGTCGGTGGTGAAAAGGCCTGACGACGCAAACTCCCTCTCGCCTCCCAGCACCGGCATCGCCACGCCCACCTTGGCCCAGCTCACGTGGTTCCTTGCGTAGGTCTGCCCCAAGACGCCGCTCACGTCGCCGCTCAATGCTTAGAACTTGAAGCTCAAGTCCAAGCGAGTGAAGCAATCTTCGTTGGTTATTCCGTGGTTGTGGATCAATGAGTCCTTCCGGGTAATCGGGACAGCCATGGCCTTGATCTTGAAGTTCTTCTCCGCTTCGATTTCGATAGCGCTCATGTCGCGGTACCTTGTGTCGATAGCGCTCGTGTCGCGGTACCTTGTGAATGAGATACGTGGGGTGGTCTTGGAGTGCCACAAGGCACCCTTGTGTCGAGGGAGGGTGATGGGGGTGTCGACGAGGAAGAGGGAGAGGCAGTCGACGGGCGTCATCCCAAACTGAGGTCTTGAGCGCGCCAATAAAGAGGTTGTGGGAGCCAAAGAGGATACCAAGGGACTCGACCCAGGTGAAGTCGCGGCACATGTTGGCATTGCGGCGGCCAATGAAGTGCGCGTTGATGTGGCGGTTGGAGTCTGAGGCAGAAGTCACGGTTCTTTTTGCCATGGAAGTAGAAGGGGATGCCATCGCCGTCGATGAAGCATGGGTCCTGGCACGTCGCGTCGGGATAGTCGCGGCCTGCTCACATTTTCCAATAGAAATTTTTGGCATCCTCGAAGAGACTACTCATAGCAAATTCCAATTGAGATGCTCCGATTTTAGGACCGAAATTAGTTTTGTCGAGGTCAGGATACATGACCTGAAAGAGTTATCAATTATGGAATCTATTTACAACAATGACTTGCATCGAAACTTGACTTTCTAACAGTTACGTGTGACATGATCTGATCAGGTGATGAATTCATATATACAGAATGACTAATCAAAGTTTCAAGAGTGTCAAACTGCTACGTTCCTAATCTAATCAATTTGGAACAATCATCCTGTCCCATTTTCAGTACATTAATTCTTAAGACTCCTTATATATTCTTGTTTGGTTTGATCTGACGCTCCACTAAGATATGCATAGCTAGATCTAAGGAGATTCACGTTCATGAAAGTCCATGGACAGTGAGTGAAGGGGAAATAAAATGAGGAAGATAGGAAAAATTACCTAATCGGTCTATGGAGGTCAATTCGGTCCTAAAAAAGTTTCAATTTCGCCAATTTAGTTTTAAATCTATAGGTGAAATTCCAATTTAGTCATTCCTGTCAATTTTTCGATGAAAATCACTGACGTGGTGGTCCAATTATCACTAGCCGTCCTACGCGGCACACCACCACGTTAGTGATTTCCGGCGAAAATAGATCGGAATGAATATATTGGAATTTAATGTAAAATTTTAGGACTAATTTGGCAACATTGAAAAGTTTAAAATCGAATTAGCATCCGTACAAAAAGTTTATAACTAATTGGATAATTTGCCTGATGAAAATATGGAAGAGAAAAGGTGGATATAGTGACGACTTACTGCATACTGGCTTGCAAGGCACACAAATCAACCTCACATGAAGATGGACAAGCACAGGGGCAGCTTTGTTCCAATACAAGGCATTGAGAATAACTCCTATTCTTGCATCTCACTCTCTTCACTCCTGATACTTCGCTTGATGGAGGCGGAGGAGGATATAACAGTTGGAGGGGCATCAGGTGGGGAGGAACCACCGCTTGGAGGAGGCACGCTGGTTGGCAGGGCATTTAGAGGTGTGGATCCGCTGCTTGTAAGTGGAAGCGTGGCTGTCGGGGGGCATTGGGACGGGTAGAGCCGCCACCGGTAGGCAGTGGAGGAGGCGTGGCGGTTGGAGGGGCATTAGGAGGGGTGGAGCCACCGCTGGTAGGCGGCGGAGGAGGAGTGGCGGTCCGCAGGGTGGAGCTGCTGCTAGGAGCTGGTGGAGGAGGAGAAGAGACAGTGACGGGTGAAAGAGGTGTTGGATGAGGCGGGGTGGTGGCAGGGGGAGATGAGGATGGTGGAGTAGTCATGGCCACGGGCCGGTTTCGGCCCGGAACTGGACCGGAACCGGCCCGGTCAAACCCGGGCCCGCGGTTTGGAATTGGAACCGGCCTGTGCCCTACGGGCCCGGTTCAAAAAAAAAAAAAAAAAAAAAGAAGAAGCTGCAGATCTGGCGAGGGTTCGACCTCGTCGGCCTCAGGGGAGGCCGGCCTCGCCAGTTGCCGGCGAGGTCGAGCCTCGCCAGATCTGGCGAGGGTTCGACCTCGCCGGCCTCGCCAGTTGCCGGCGAGGTCGAGCCTCGCCGGCGTCGGGCGAGGCCGGCCTCGCCCGGTTGCGGCGAGGTCGGCCTCCCGACGCCGGCGAGGTCTAGCCTCGCCCGATCACGGCGAGCCGGCCTCGCCCGGCCCGAGCGAGGCGGCCCTCGCCCGGCCCGAGCCGGGCGGCCCTCCCCGACGCCCGAGCGAGGCGGCCCTCGCCCGACGCCGGCGAGGCGCCCGACGCCGGCGAGGGCGCCCTCGCCCGACGCCGGCGACCTCCGCCGGCCGGCTATGGCCGCGGAGGAAGAAAAGAAAAAAAAGAAAACGAAAAGAAAACGAAAAAAAAGAAAAGAAAAATTATGAACCGGCCCGAAACCGGTTCCGAACCGACCGGTTTCGAACCTGAACCGGAACCGGCCCGGAACCGTCCGGTTCATACTTGGCCACGAACCGGAACCAGTCAGTTCCGAACCGTGGCCATGACTATGGTGGAGGGAGGACAGGGAGAGGAGTAGGAGGAGGCGGCAGGGAGGGATACGTCACTAAAGGAGGCGGGGGCGTAGGGGTTTCATCGCCGGTGTCGCCTCCTGTGTTGCCACTGGTGCCAACAGGTTGGCAGGAAGCACAATCCACCTTACTGTTCCTGAGACAAGCAGCAGGACAATGGAGCTTCACATGGGAACAAAGCGGGTAGTTCTTTTCTTGGCACTTCACTTGCTTGGGCCCTGGATCTGCACGAGTCATTGCCTTAGCTAGGAAGAGGACTAACAAGGACATGCCCAAGCTTGCCATTGCCTTGGCCATATTTGGTTTTCGAGACAACTAAGGGCGCGAATGGTAACCATTCTGCTCCAGAAATTAAATTCTTACCAGAAATTGATTTATGAAGGAGAAATCTGTTCGATAAAACATGACTAATTCTGTTCCAAAAATTTATTTCTGAAACAGAAATCTGTTTTGATTTGGTGATTTTTTTTGCACCTAAAAAAATTTAAATTTCACTCAAAGTGGGTGCTCGCAGGTATTCTGAGCTATTCTGTAAAGTTTTATAATTTTTTATTTTTTAATTTTTTTGGGCACCTCAAAAAATTTAAATTTCACTTAAAGTGGGTAGCCAAAGGTATTCTAAGCCATTTTGTGAAGTTTTGAATTTTTTTATTTTTTTGGGCACTTAAAAAAATTTAAATTTCACTCAAAGTGGGTGGCCACAAGTATTCTAAGTCATTCTATGAAGTTTTAAAATTTTTGATTTTTTGATTTTTTTGGACACCTAAAAAAATTTAAATTTCACTCAATGGTGGCTTCTAAGCCATTCTGTGAAGTTTTGAAATTTTTGATTTTTTTTTATATTTTTTGAAAAAAATTCACCAAATTTTCTATTTTCCTGAAATATGACTTTTTTTTTCTGGAAATTTTTATGAATTTTTCTTGAATTTGTCAATTTTTATGCATTTTCTGGAAAAAAAAATCAATGAGATCTCAAAATATGCCGTAAAGGTCACAAAAAAGAGAGAAAAAATGGAGAATGCATTTTGGAATAGAGAAGCTACAAAAAGTAGCTTCTCTTTTTTTTGCCCAAACTCATTCTGGAATAAAAAATATATTCTGAAATCAAGTATTTTTAACAAACGCATTTTTATTTCAGAATGCAAAAATTGCTCCAAAATGCATTCCGGAAATTTCTTAACAAACGCATTTCTGTTCCGAAATGCATTCTGGAGCAGAATTTCTGCTTCAGAATGGATTTCATGCGTGCCCTAACAAGCCAGAGCTTTTTTGATGATTCCTGTTGGGATTAATAAATACTGTTCTTTATATAGAGACGAAAAAAGGTGCAAGGGAAAAGGTGTGCCTGAAGCTGCTTGACCTCAAACTCAGTAGGACTCTTCACGCCGTGCCTCTCCTTGCAGGTGAGTTCAGGTTCCATCATTAAGGTTTCTTGAAGAAGGCATTCAACCCATAAAAAAGGAGGGTACATTGAAAGGGAAGTCAAAGTCAACCTGAAGAAAACGTTACCCGTGCCTTTTTAGTGACTTTGATTTGCAGCATCCACACGCCTGGACAGTTGTCAGGATTGCAATTTTTTTTTTTCTTGGGAGAGTTTGCCTTGGAGCATCAATGATGTTGTTGTAGGGCATTTATGCCTCGTGAAGACTATTTAATGACGAGAGCTGCTAGCATAACCGTCTGAGGGTGTGACATTCAAAAGCCAGCCACAAAATTTTCCTTTTTCCAACGCAAGCGCGTGGAAATTTCCGAGGAAAACACAGGTCTCTCTCTCATGGAAACTGTGTGGCTGAGGGTTGACGATTCATTTTCCAAGGAAACGGTACGGTCATGCAAGTGTTTTCCTTTAAGGACCTACCACAGTAATTAGAGTTACAATACAGTCCACAGCTTCTCCCCGAGGAGAGTTCCACTCCGCATCATGTCGTTTTTCGAATTGAGATATACATTGATAGATACACATTACACGTGAATAAGTTTCAATGTGCCGTAAAGAAAAAAGAGCTGGGGCTTCTCCAAACTGGATGT